CAAACATCAACACATTTATGCTACTAGCTGGAAAGGGGAAGTAATCCCTGGTAAGAGGTGGGAGCTTGAGATTCAAGTGGGACCAGTTTCCAAAGACACCTGTTGTGATATAACACAGAGTTTTTGTGTCTCAGCATCAAGGGTCCTATCTCAGCATAGGCTGCATCCTCCACTGCCTGCATTCCTTGTGGCTCCCTCTAGTCACCAGTTCCTTGTAAATCCAGCAGATTCTTTCCCCAGATCCAGCACACTCTGCTTCCTCCCACTCAGGCCCCATGTGCTCAGGATATCAGATTGGATGTAGAAAAGACCACAGTCTTTTGTATTCAAGAATTGTGCAACATCATGTAAACATGGACATTTAATACCATTAAAACAATAAATAGTAAATCATGACAAAAAGTAAAATAGGCATTTACCCAGGGAGGAGGGAAGCAAGATCTAACACTAGATCTTCTTTCAGGTTGTCTGCAGGCAGGAAGGCTAATTCACGGTCCACAATGGAATCTACCACCTCACATAAGACAAGATGTTCTTCCTGAGTTCTCAACTGGACACTGGTTCCATAGGGTGTCCATAGAAATCAAAACCTATTGTGGCCTTTCTACAAATGAAAATAATCACATTCCAGCCACACATGCTTGGTGCAGTGCAAGGATGGCTCCTGATGTCCACCTGTCAGCTCCAGGACATCACTGGGGGCTTCTTTAGCATGTGTTCAGGGGTGACTGCATAATGTCGACAAAAATCTGGGAATGGTAATAGGTACATGAGGAGTAGAGTGCACTGCAGAAGTTCTGGTGTGTCTCAACTGTAATGAGGATGTAATGGAGGAAGTTGTAGCATTTGAGTTGAGACTGAACTTTGATGAGAAGGCAGGGTTTTTCCTCACCCATGGCTATGGCTGAGTGCTTTCAAACTGAGAGCAGACAATTCCTGGCAGAGAAAATCTTATCAAAGGACACTTTGCCAAGCTGGGGAGTACTAAGAGCTCCCGCCAATCACTAGCCTGGGAAGGCCATCGCTAGGGGCCCTGATTCCATCCCTACTCACAAGCTCTCAGGTGCCTACACAAAGACTCCTCCCTCCCTTCCTTGTTCTGATTGTCAGGAGCTCCTCCAGCTGCTCTACAAGAACTTGTAAGTGGAGGAGCTGGTCTGAGGAGGCCATGTTGAGCATTTGATAGTGTGTTAAGTTCATTCAGATTGTTTCTGTTCATGTGTTCCTAAAAATCTTTAGGGGCAAAGTCCTTCCACATGGTGAAGTCAGAACAAAGGGTGCTGTGGGCAGATTGGGGACAGGGAGAGTCAGAGCCCAGCTTCCCCATCCCGAGCCTCCCATAACTCCTTTCTGCCAGGACTCCCATGCTGTGGCTGTCCATCCTATACCCAGACTTGCATGTTGGGAAGGGGGAGTGGACTCCTTCAAGCAGGATGCCTCTCACAACCCACTTCTAGAAACTTCTGAAAGAAAATTCTGGTACACAGTAATCGTTGTTACATGATTCCTTTGTTCACCAAACTACTAAATTCATCTCTGCCACACATCCCGACTCCACTCAAGGCAGAGACATCTAACACATATGGAATAGGAAAATAACTCAAATGTCTTGGCCAAGCTCACTTTACCAAGGATCCTGTGACCAACACTGAGGCTACTTCTCCCTGCATGCCGGTGGCTGTTGGTGACTGAGGGGGCAGGCTGGTTTGTGAAAGGACAGTGTCCACAGATGCACAGAGAGGCCCCCCAACAGCTAGCAGAGGGGATGAGACCATTCTCACCCTCAATCACAATATGCATGGTGGAGCTGTTTTGCAAGGATGCTTCCACAGTAATGCTGTGTGTATGTGTGTGGGGGGTGTGTGTATGTAAGCGTGGGCACTGGGGCTTGAGTTCAGGGCTTGTCCTCTCACTTGGATGTTTCAGTGGAGTGGTGCTTTGCCATGGCTTCAGTCTAGAACTTTTGGCTGCTTAACTGGAGACACAGTCTCATGGGCTCCTCTGCCCAGTTAGGCTGTGAAGTCCTGTGATTGCAGCCTCTTGCAAAGCTGGAATTACAGACCCCTGCCCATGAAATCCCCTTGTAGAATTAACATATGCTAATAAAAGGGTTTTAAACATGTCACCAACAATATTATAAAATGACTGAATGAACAGTACAGTATAGGGGAATTTTTGGTTTGGTGTTGTGTATTTCCAAGAGAATTTTTCAGAGACTTTAGTACAAAAACACATGGAGCATAATACCTTACATGTTAAAAATGTATTACTAGGGCTGGGAAGTTGGCTCAGTGGTAGAGCACTTGCCTTGCCTGCATGAGCCCCTGGTTTGATTACTCAGAACATGAGCAGAAGAAAGCCGGAAGTGGTTCTGTGGCTCAAGTGGTAGGGCACTGAGGGACATCGCCCTGGCCCAGAGTTCAGCTTCCACAAAGGACAAAAAAAAAATACTACTCGCCAGCTAGCTGTTCTCAGATCTTTAATCCAGGATACTCAGGATGCTGCAATCTAAGGAATGAGATTGGAAGACAACCAGGACTAGAAAGTCCATGGACTCTTATCTCCAATTAAAGGTGCAGTGGTTCAAGTGGTAGAGCATTAGCCTTGAGCAGAAAAGCTCAGTGATAGCTTCCACTCTCTGAATTCAAACACCAACACTGGCACAGATTGGTCTAGTTTTTGTGTTTGTTTAGTTTTGTTTGTCCACCAGTCCTGGCGCTTGAACTCAGGGCCTGGGCTCTATTCCTGAGTCAATCTGTGCTCAAAGCTCCAGATCTATCACTTGAGCCCAGCACCACTTCTAGTTTTCTGATGTTGTTTTGGAGATAAGTGTCTCATGGACTTTCCTGCCCAGGCTGGCTTGGAACCGTAATTCTCAGATGTCTGCCTTGCAAGTAGCTACTATTATAGCAATGAGCCACCAGGGCCCAGAAATGGCTAATTTATAAAAAGCTCAAAATATTTGGAAATGAAACAAAATAAAAAAAAACCATTTGTAAGGTGCCAGTGGGTCAGGGCTTCCACCATATTTATTCAAGAGCCCAAGAACTCAGAAACTCAGTTTAGAGCCAGTTCAGGCAAGAAAGCCTATGAGTCTCTGACTTCCAATTAACTATCCAGAAAACTGGAAGTGATCTATGTGAATAGTGATGGAGCCCTAACCTTGAGCAAAAACACTCCAAGACAGCACCCAGTCCTTGAGTTCAAATCCCTGGATTGAAGAACCTATTTTTTTAAAGCACTTTTACCTCCAGCATAGGTTCATTTGCAACATAGTGTCTTGTGAGTCTCATTGTTACAACAGGTCAATTTGTTATACACCTTCCCCTCCCCGAATCATCATACAAGATGTAAGATACCAAAAATCAAATACAGTGACAACAGGGACATACCATACAAAAGAAAAAAAGAAAAATTCCCATGGTACATTCAAACAAGAACAACAAAGAAAAACACCTTGTGTCTGAATCTTGGTGTTCATGTTGCACAGCATCATATTTTTGTTGTTGTTGTTGGTACACTTTTGTTAGTTTTATTTTACAATTTCACTAGGAATGCAATTTTCAATCCGTTATTTGTTTTTGTTTATTCAACTCACTCTGGCACCCAGCCCAGTCAACCAAATATCAACGCTGAACTTCTGAGTGGACATTCCCAGCACACCAACCACCAAAGCCAGCTATGCATGGGATGGACTTACTTACAAGACTCACCCGCGGTACTGTTCTCAAACCACGGTGAAGCCCCACGAAATGAACATCTTCCCACCAGCTCAAGCGTCGCGGCTACCTTCCTTCCAGCTCACTCTCATCCACAACTGACCAGTCTGGCCAAAGAGCCGGCTTGGGCAGCAAAGTCTGTGAGGCTTCTATCTCCAGAAAACCAAAGGAAATCTGGAGGCAGAACTGTGACCCAAGTGGTAGAGTGGCAGCCCTGAGGAGGGTAAAGGAGGGGGGAGAGTCAGGGAGGACACCAAGGCCTTGAGTTCAAGTCCCAGGACTGGCACACACACATTACAGGAGGACATACCAAGGAGGGAAAGCTAAGGCATTCGATGACCCTTACTGGCAATACACCCACCATCACCCCGAAACACTCCCCGGACCCCAGGGAAGCCGTTCCTCCAAACCTCCGTGTCCCCTCCAGACCAGCCAGACACCTAAGGGACTCACCTCAGACAAAGCCCGCCGCCTTCCTCTCAGCAGCACACCTGCGCAAACCCCACTGCTTCCTGCACCCCGTGTGCTGGGGTCTGGCCGTCCTGCAGGCTCCACGCCGGGCAAGGCACGGGAGGATGCGCTGCCCGGCCTGACAGCAACCATGGCGGAGCCAGGCGCCCAAAGACCGCGGAGGCCGCGCGGGGCGGCACAGCCAGGCCCGAGCCCCAGAAAGGACGTCCACAAGTTCCCGCTGCACACAAGGCCTTGCGGGGTTTCCTGACAGGCCTCCCTTCCCCACGGCTGCCCTTCCTCATCGCTCCCCCCAGGACAGGACCTCAGCGCCAACTTCTCTGCTCCAGACCCCTGTCTCTCCTAGAAGCTGCAATGGCGGTCCCACAGGGGCTAGATTGCCAGTCTGAGCATGCGCACCAGCCATCCTCCCACTGCGCATGTCCATGTGCGGCTCCAGAGAGGCTGAGGCCTCGTCTGAAAATCTAAGGCCCTGGGGTTAAGAGTCCCTGAAACTCAGAACCCAGATTCCTAAATCACAAAGATCACAGGCCTGTGCCTCAGGTGGCCAACTCACAGCGCCTTTTTCATACAGAGTTTGCTGAATTTCCTTACCTTCACTTCATCCATACACACACACACACACACACACACACACACACAAATATATATATATATTAATCTATTTCTATTCAATGGTATATTTACACACAACTATATATTTATATATTGATAATCAATGTTCTATAAGCATTTCGCCCAAAAATGTTTTAGTAAGCAGGTTTTCTGTGACTTGGGCCTTGTCCTGGGCTCTTTGTTTAAAATTACTTTTCAGACCAACTGTTGAGTTTTGGCCTCCGGCTGGCATTCAATTTCAAGTTCTTCATTTCTGTCTTCCCAGTTGCTCTGATTGATTCGAAGTGTGCAGCTCTACCACCAGATTTACAAAACAATTATATAAATAGAATAGTTCTTGAAACACCAGTAGAAATGCCTAAGTCATGTACCATATCTCAGAGGTATGCATGATGGAGAGCTCACATTTTATATAAACTTGAATCCCTAGACTCAGATTGTAAAGCTAACTGCTTAGTACTTCAGTAGCTTGTATATGTCTGGGTTCCAGACTCAAACACCAACAAACAACACTCCAGGATCTTCAATTGTCTCAGGCTGACAAAATTCTTTTCTTGTCACATTGAAGTCAGACTTCAAACCTTTGCTATGAAACATTTATGTGATTTCTTAGAAAATCAGGTTTAAAATGATTCCTGACTGGATGCTGTGGATCTCACCTGTACTGCTAGCTAGTCAGGAGGCTAAATCCGAGGATCATGGTTCAAAGCCTGATCAGGCAGGAAAGTCCATGAGACTCTTCTCTCCAATTAAGCCCCACAAAATGGAAGGGGAGCTGTGACTCTAAGTGGAAGAGCATTAGCCTTGTGCAAAAAAAGCTCAGAAACAGTGTCCACAACATGAGTTCCAGCTCCACAACCAAACGGAGAGAAGAAAAGCGAGAGAGAGAGACAGAAAAAGAGACACACAGAGAGAGACAGAAACAGAGATTGAGAGAAATAGAGACAGAGACAGAC